AGGGTGTGCTTTACAAGCTTATAGATAACTTTTTTTACTAATGCTGTAGGGGGTTGAGAATGTGTAAACACAACCCCAGCCTCTTCTCTTCCAAACTATGGAAAGCATCACCAAGGGACGACTGAGAGATGTGGACTACCCATTTGTTGGAAATCACTTTCAGCAGGGCGGGTTGGTTTTTGAATATATATATATTTTAATAAAAAAGTAATTTCCTCAGGAAGTCACTAACTTATAATTTAGCTGCAATTTGGGGATTGTTGTGTTGTTTCATTCTAAGCAAGTAGTGTCACCAAAAGTATTGACACGTAACTGATGCCGAAGCCAAGTTCAAAATTATAATAAATGAGGGTCTTTCTAGTTTCTTAGGCATCCCCAATTGGGGCTCTAAGGTCATCCCCAATTGTTGGGGCTCTAAAAGAGGTTGTAGAGCCCCATTTGATTTTTTTTTTTTTCAATGATGTAATTTAATTTAGGTGCTATTTTTGTTTTTTGTTCACTTATTTATGTTAGTTTTTTTGTGTGAACATTTCAACCAAAAAAAAAAAAAAATTGGACAAGATTTGAAAACGTGGTTAAAAAAAATAAACCTAGCCGTTTAGAACTTGAGGTTGTAGCCTAAGTCAACTTTACAAAAAAATTAAAATAAAAACAATGAGACAAGCTTGTTGCAATTGGCCAAATGATTATAGAATAAAAAATATAAAAAACTGGTCAGCAACCATTTTTTTGTGCAAGTAGGGATGCGGAAGTCGCAAGGGGCATCATCAACAAAGCAAGTGGGCTGGCAGCTTTTCCTCCATGCTGGTCCCACTGGATTTCAAGGGTTTCAACCATGTCCATACATTTAGGTTCAGCTCCAGTGAGGCTCAAGGATTTAGGGCCTCAAAATTGGACCACCAGGGATGCTTTTTTTGCATGAATTTGCATTTATAGGAGCCCAAAGGTGGTGCAGCCCCCTTTAGAGCCACCATTGGGGATGGCCTAAAGGGGGCTGCACCACCTTTAGGCTCCAAAAAATAGAAACCCATACAAAAAAAAAGGGTCCCCAATGGTCCAATTTTGAGGCCCTATATGCTTGAGCCCCACCGGAGCTGAACCCAAATGTATGTACCTGGTTGAAGCCCGTAAAACCCAGTGGGACCCGCATGGAGGAAAAGCTGCCAGCCCACATGCCTTGTTGGTGACTCCCCTTGCAACTTCCGCATCCCTACTTGCCCAAAAAAAAAAAACTAACATAAATAAGGTAATAAAAAATAATACCTACATCATTAAAAACATCAAACCCCTAATATAGAGCCTCTCACTGTGAGAAAGATGCCTTTAGAGCCCCAAAGATTCTACCAGAGCTCTAAATGAGGCTCTATCAACCTCTTTTAGAGCCCCAACTATCGGGGATGGCCTTATGTAATAAATGCAAGTTACACATGTATCTAAAGTTCCTTGTCTTTGAGTCTCTCTAGGTCAGATTATTAGTGTATTAGGTGTCATAAATTATGTTTTTAGAGTTACGAAGTATATTAATGGATCTTTCCAGAGCCATGTACCAATGACCCTATGAAACGGGATACTTTTTAAGCTTAAAAAAAGAAAGAGTTTTAGTGGCACAAAATGTTGTCATTCATTTGATCAGAAATATGATGAGAATGTCAAACTTTTAGTTCTTGTTTAAACTCTTTAGGATGTAGATGGGCTCAATTGATGCAACCTCACATGTCCCGAATTTTAAGTAGTATAGGTGTGTGATGATTAGAGAGGAGTTTACTACTTTAAGAAATTCATGTCTTCAAGAGTCTAACCGCAAGGAACATTGAAATGAAGCTCCTGCACTTTGACACTGCCTGGAGCCCATTTCTTCTGTGCTGTTCTATACAAGCCGAGTGCTTATTGACATCAATATTTAGGTTACTAATCAGGAGATCATTGAGTAGGCCACGCTACCTCAACCTGTAGGCAGGCTGGCTGTCTAGTTTAATCACTGTGGTTTTCATGATTGCTTCTATTCATAATTTTCATTCTTGCTGGTTTCTCTAGATATATGAGATGACTCAGATGTAAGCCCAACTGTGACTAATTACTAATTATGAGCTGCTCAGTCATCATTTTGCCTTTCCTGTCAAGTTGTTCGACTTTGATTCTACTATCCCCCCACCCCACTTCATTTTGTCTGGTTTATATCCTTGTGGACTCAGACTAGCAATCTATTATATTTATAATAACCTGTAAATCATCTTGTTAAAGTTATAATTTGATAGTGAGAGGATAGAAAAGTTAATAATTTGGATAATGTTCTGAATGACACATACTATCTCTAAGCAGGCCTCAAGAAGTTGTGATTTTCATTGTTGGAGGAACAACATATGAGGAGTCTCGCTCTGTAGCTTTACAAAATTCTATGAATACTGGAATTCGTTTTATACTTGGTGGTTCTGCGATTCTCAATTCTAAGAGGTATGCTTCAGGTCGTCATTGTATTTTTGCAGAAACATTTGCATCATAAGTGCAAAAGAAGTTTACATTACTGTGCTAGCTGGACTTGATGCTTTGACATCTAACACTGGCTTTGAATGGTCCGACTTGATACCACTTCTTTCTTGTGTTGGATGCAAGTTTGAGAGTTTTGGGCATGATTACTTTGGCCTCTGTAAATCTTAACTTGTCTTGGGGTTATTTTTGGTTGCATTACTAATTCCATATAGGTACAATTCATCTAGCATATTAGTTCCTAGAAAGTTTAGAGGACATGATAATTAAGCATCCACTCGCCTGATCAATCCTGGACAATGGGAGGTTGTGCTTGGTAGACAGTTGCTTAACTGTCTTAAGAGATTTTGGTACAAGTATTTATGCATCAACTGTTGGAGGTTCTTAATTATATGTTGTAATTGTTTGAGGCTATTCTAGTGAATTACTGTAGCTTATTGAAATTGTCTAATATGAGATGCTCCGCTCCAATTATTGTTTGGCTGGGAAAAACAGGTTCTTGAAAGATTTGGAAGAAGCTCAGAGAGTAGCTCGGACTAGCAATGCCGTCTGAATTTTGGGTTCTTGTATATCTTTCATTTCAAGAGCCATATGCACAAGTGTTTGTGGATGCATACGGGTGTTTAGATATGGTCACCAGCTATAATATCAAAAATTGCCACACATGCTTGAGGGTTCATCAGAATCGCCCTCTGGTGATTTAAACTTTTTCTTTTTCCTTTTGAAAATTGCATATTGACTTACAGAAGGATAACATTCCTCGAGTAACAGATTGTATATAGGGAGATTCACTATTATATTTAATATAAGGGCCCAAATTATAAAAATACCCTATATGAAATTGACTTTATAAACACACCCAAAGCTCATTTACAACATAACAAAGAGGCTTTAACTTCTTATAAATTACAAAACTGCCATAAATTTTTTAAAATAAGCCCAATTCCAAAATCTCATAAAAATACCCAAAACACTCAATAGGGAATTAAAGTAATTTAATAATCAATATTAAATTTAATAAGACCAGCTGTCATTTTTTGGGTTTTTTTTTTGGGTTTGTTTATAAAAATTCAATGATATAGGGTTTATCTATAATATTAGTGATAAGAATGGGTATATCACTAAATATCTCTTGTATATAATCTTTTTTTTTTATAATTATTTTTTAGGGTTGTGTGTATAATCCGTGTTTAAGTATTAAATTGTGATTATGACTTCAGCTTTTATTTAATAAATAAAATATTATCAGATGATTGGGCTCGAGACATAATAAGTTGTGTAGCAATTTTATTTAAAAACAAATAAGGAAAAAAAGAAAACAATCATTACAATTTTTTCCTTGAAAAGCAGCTGGTAAAAGTCTTCAAGTTATATGGACATCTAGCCATTTTGTTTTTTTGTTTTCTCCTCTTGACCATGCTATGACTGTGATTCAAGATGATAAGGTTGGCATTTCTTAGTCGTTGCGATTTTCTTTATAATTAATTCTTGCACAGGCAATATTTTTATCAATTAGTTTTTTATTTGGTAATATTTATAATTCTCTAGGCTGAAAGTCCAGTAATATTTTTGATTTAGTAAAAACTGATGCTATTTCTTTGAGCTTCTTTCAAGTCCTTAATTGGAGCAAAACATCTTAAGTAGTACGCTATCACATTTTCTTGAAGTAGTTTTTATATCAACCCAATGTTTGTCTTACATCGCGAATTGAGTGACAAATTATGTAAGTTATAACGTAGCGTAAGCATTGACGCGTTGTTGCATAAACTATTTTGGAATATAAATATTATAACTAAAAAAGATAAGACATAATATATCTAGGCAATCAAAAAGTGAAGGAATAACACCAAATTATCAGCACTCTCCTCTAAACTACCAATAAACAACTTCAATTGAATAACTGAATATAAATGAACTAATTCAAATAATTAACCCATAAACCGATTCAACTAAATACCTCTCATACATAAGAAATTCCGAAATTTACAAAAAAATTCAATTTCTGAAATTGCCCAAAAACAACACCTATCGATTAGAAACATCGAAGTATGCATGACCTTCAATTTCATGGATTTGTGTCAATTTTTAGGTAAATTTGAGGTTTATGGTTTGTTTCCTTGAGAAGCAACACCTATCAACGTCGTTTTATACAATTGTTTTTCAAAAAGAGAAAAATTCCGCAACCCGAGTCAACGCAATAGCGCGACGGCGATATAGCTTACACGA